ACAATAGATTGTCTAACACTACTTTGATGAATTCGGGGTCGAGGTGGATCATGATTATGAACTTTTTTATTTTTTTTATTTTTTTTTATTTTTAAATCAAGGATAATTTGTACATTTTGATTAATTCAAATTTGTTTATCTTAAAAAATAGTTTTAACGTTTCGAAGTCACGAATTCTTTTATCGATGCGCGACTAATTACAAATCTTTGGGATTTATTCACATATCGGTAAAATTCGTTTCAACAGCCACCTCCCTTTATCATAAATTTATTACAATATGTAAATATCATGCTAATTTTTCATCAAAATTCTATGTTTAAATTAATTATTAGGGAGAAGTTGAATTAATATACCCAAAGCTCAAATAAGCATGAAGCTGGGTTCTTAGAATATATGAAGACATTAATCGGAACTTCTCAATATAAATTCCTCTTGAAGAAGAAATGAAAAGGTTGAAACTATGGATAAAGAACGATAAGAAAAATTAAATCGCGTTAAAATAGTTGAAAAGGAGAAACAAAGTTTAGAGGCAGTATGTTAGTAAATCGTGTTTGTTTACCAATTAAATGAAGTTTAAAATCTTGAAATACATTTCCTTAAATAATAAAATTGATTAATTACGGAAATTATACTCTTTTCTTTGGCTATATATAAATCAAGTTACTTACGGGTAAGTTGAAATCCAAAACTTGCTTCTATAAGATTTGTCGTATAAAACCAAGATAGTTGGCGTAACTTTTTTAATTTTAATCAAAAGTTCTAAATCTTTTATGACACGATCGACATTTCTCTCATTTAACTTTGTTGTTGATTTAATGGGTAATGATAATAAATTCTTGGAGGTCGTTGACTTCTGTCGTATTCACAACATATTATTGCATCCAATCTATTAATATCAACTTGATAGATCAATTCTTAATTGTAATAAATAACTTTTTTTATTAAAAGGTAGGAGGCTTTCGAAATTTTTTTTTTTTAAAAAAAAAAAAAAGGAAGAAAAAAATTTCTACATCTTATAAATTAATTACCCGCAAAAACTTCTTGATAATCATCAGCTAATGAAATAATATAATGTGATTAATTAAACAAATCTTTAATAAAATCATGAATTTTTTTATTGATTAACTTTTACTTACTGGTATTAAACTTCCAAGTATGAGTTTGAATACCCATTAAAGGTTGATCCGTTTTAAAATCTTTTACAGCATTATCGTCAATTACAATGTAATAATTCCCATTCGGTTGATTGAATGTGCTCTCTAAAACATTTAAGATGAATGATTGATTATCCGCACTATAAACAAATGATGTTGGAGCGTTTCCTGTAATCGATTGTCGCAATATAGGTTTTCCGCCACTATCATCTTGATAAATAAAGATGTTATTCGTTGATATTATTATCGGAAAGTTATATGTAACGTTAATACTAATCGTTGATAATGGTATCTTTGAATTAATTAATGGATTTGTGGTATTAACATTTCTGTTATTGTAACCATTATCTAATAACACAAAATAAATAAATAAATAAAAGACACATATAAATGAAGAACAAATAAAATGTTCATTGATTGTCGTTACGATATCTTACCATCAAAGAACCTTGGTAAATCTTCTGAATAGACTTTCCAAGTAAATTCATCAACTTGGTAAGCGATAACAAAAGTGTTGTTTCGTAAATCTCCCATCGCAAGATTAGAAATTTTTAAATTATTTGGAAGCTCCAAAGTGCTATAATAATTTCTTTCGTCATCAAGAATGATAGATTGAAATATTTTATAAAGAGTATCTTCCGAATCATTGAAAAAGTGTATGAAGAACTCTCCATAAAACAAATTTCTAAATACCGTAGTTTCTCTTAAATCTTTATACATTTCAAGATCAGAAAATTTATCGATGCCAACAACAGAACTGTATTTATAAATAAATATGAGAGTGAGACGAACGTTATTGAAGAAGAAATCAACCAATTCATTAATTTTTGTGAAATTACCGACCCTGAATTCTGGAATTTTATTCGAATCAATTTATATCCTTCATCCCTTTTCATATTCAGAATGCAAGAATTACCTAACGTAGTAAATGTTTTACTACATTGAAACATAACTTGTAAATTCGGTATTACGGATTGATAAAGCAAGAAAGGTCCATCAACAGTTTATCGGGATTAATGAAAGTTAGATAAAGACCAAATGTTGGTCTGACCGGATCAATTGATTCATCAAGAGGTTGATTTAAAAAATTTGTACGACTAATCATTATAGCAAAGGCTCCATCGATTGTGGCAAATATAGTAAAGGAATCTAATGAAGGATTTTGAATTTCAAGGTGACCATTATTTATTGGATGAAAATTTCCATTGGAATCACTAAAAAAGCAATGAACATGGTTAAATTGACAAGTGAGAATTTCGATCATTGTAACGAACTTACGGTTTACTAAAGTAAATCCAGTCCACAAAGTTTCAGTTAGATAATTCCAGAAAATAAAGCCACTTGCTTTGTTATCGTGAGAATACATAAACCCGGAGGAATACAATGTTCCATTGATGACGGACACCCGTGAGAGAAATGTATTGCTTTATAAATGTAAACAAACTTATATAAGTATCAAACCGCAAATGATTACGACACACTATTAAATGATTCAAACCCAATGATTTTTCCAGTGCGCGTGAAAAGTGACACATAATAACTTGCCGAATTTATATCGGAGGAGTTTTCATATAACATGTAGAAGAATCCGGTATATTGCGAATAAGCTTAATATGTAAAGATATATCGTCTGGTACAAGACAAAATTAAAATCCGGTATCGAGTGTTCCACCTTTACTTTATCAACTGTGCCATTTGAATGTATAACTCGCAAATCAATCTTAGGTTCGTTACATGTTTCATTTATTGGTTTGGTCAAGAAAACAATCAAAGTTCCATCCAAATAAGTTAATATTTGGTTAATTTTGTAACCGGGTTCGGTTTCATTATATGACGAGGTTTTATAGGAATTTATGCTTAATGGATAGATGAATAAAAAATAAAAATCAATGAATAATTCCAGAAAAATTCATCTTGAATTTTTTTTTTTTTTTTTGATCTTTTAAACGAGGAGCGCAGCTCTAAGGGTTTTTCAAGAAGCATTATATCACCAAGTTTATTATTGGGAACGCGTTGATTTATTTTCTATTATTCTACTTATAGTCTATTGGTTGTTTCACAAAACAGTAGCAATGTTTGCCAAGGTCTAAAAGGTCTAAAATCAGATAAATTAAATGCAATGAGAGAGACTGATAAGTAGGAAACATAAACTATGGGGCGGATTACTTAGTCAACCGTCTTAACTTCACACATTTTTTCAATTACATTACATACATAATATTCTACATTTTTTAAAAAAAAAAGAATAAACGAAAATATCGAGAAATTTTGAGATTGCGCATGGTTTCTTGTAACAACTTCTTATGTACACAGGAAAATATCAATTTATAAAAATCTATACCCCTTATCGGGTTATTGATACGTCTAGAAACTAAAAATAGATATAGTATTATACATCGTAAAAACAATAACAAAAAAAAAATAATTACTAATCCTAATAAATATCAATAAACTCAAATTCAGGGGGGGTTTCAGTTGTTGTTCTTTGCCGTATAAATTGTATATTTATTGGCTTTTCTCAAAATTTTTACTTTTTCATTTTCTCACTTTCATCTCAAAAATATTAAACTATTAAAACTATTCAAAATTAAAATTGAGACAAATTTCCACCACGTCATTATCATTAATAAAATGATGTATATTACAAACTTTTTTATACACATAAACATGTACGTGAAGAAAATGTTCACTAATGCAATAAAACACTAAAGCATAAACAGCGACCATTTTTTTTCCCAAGGTTGTGATATCTTTGAGAAATGGTCGCTGTAAAAGTTGCGAGCGTAGAGCTCCAAGAATAAGGTTCACAGTATGGACCTTATCATAAGTCTAACATGGTTGTTAGACAATAATATTAAAAGTTCTCTTTTAAATTATATATAATTCTTTAATTTTAAATTCTATTGTAAAATGACGGTTAAAAATTACATTTGAATAATTATTCTTTTAATTTTTTTTTAATATGATGTATATAGTCGCTTATTAATAATTAATTTATTAAATAATTTAATCCGTTTTGTATTTAGCATATAGAAGAAGCTATAATAATTACGCTAACCAAGAAATTCAATTTTTGGTTTAGCATAACGTACAAATATGGCTTAATCTTTTCCGTCATTTTTATAGCTTCTATTATAATTCAAATAAAAATACCACAAAAAAAAAAATTAATATATTTTTTTGTACCACTTAAATAAAAATTTTCGGCCTGTCTTATAATAAAAAAAACTGTTTTCAAAATTAAAAAAAAAATTTTTTTACGCACCAAAAAATTCACAAAAAAAAAAAAAACCGTATAATCCAAATTTTAACAATAAAATGGAATCAACAAATCGACAAGTTCAACTATATTCCGTTGAATATCATCTCGCGTGTGAGAAAACGCTTCGGCATCTCGTATCGAGGACTAAAGTATAACATTTAAATAATTCTTTTTTTCGTATTTTTTTTTTTTTAGTTTATTTTTAATACTTGTTTTTATTTTCACTATGTTGCGAATTTAGTTGGATACAATCATTCTGTATCCTTAATATCAGGTTGATAAAATTCAAGAACGAATCAAAGCCAAAATATGAAGTATAAAAATGGTAAAACAAGCACGACTATATGAAAAATTAGCATTTACTGAAGATTTTATATTAAATATTTTGTACTTCCCTTTAGTTGAAGAATAATTTGGCAGAATTTTATCTCTAGGCCAAGTGTTTATTATTTTTTTTTTTTTTTTTTAACGTGCGGTGGCTTTGCACAATCTTTATTAGAAGTAGAGTAAAATTTAACAAAATTACAAAATCACTAAAGAGAGTACAAAAATTCTATCTAGTCAAAAAAAAAATAAATCAAAATCAACCTTACACACGTTCCAGACTAGACCAAGTGTTTATTATCAAAATAATTTTAAGTTCATATACTTTTATTTTCCTATTCTATCATCATTGTTATAAATAATAAAATCACTTAAATCGGTATAAAGTTCGGTAGAAGTTGAACTAACAAAATTGAAAGGATCATACAAAAATTAAAAAGTCAAGATAATGCAAATGCATATATATACAAGTTCTCATCAAAACACTATCATTATTAATCTCGTCGCTTATATTGAATGTCCGTCAAACTTTCACAACCAACAATTGAAAAGTTGAGCCCAGATATCAGTACCAATGAATTTCTTTCTGTTTATTTTCTACAAAATTGCGCTCATCACATCTTTCGAGCTGATTTTTGATTTTTAACTAATACAATACAAAGTGTGATTGGTTATAAATAAAAAATTTCGACGTAATGTTGAGAATAATAATAAATATAAATATAAACCTTAATTGCTCGAATCAAATTAATTATTTCGGTTTGTTTCATCAAGTTTTCCCTTGATCTCATCTATTCTTTTTTTAATTTCCAATATTAAATAATCAGGAAAAATGTAATAAGTATTTATATCTATATATTAAAAACAAAATATCATATATAGTCTGATTCAATACTTATTTGGTTTCATTGGCTTTAATATGAATGGAAAGAGCAACTTTGGCTTTCTGTTGAATTTCTTTTGTAAGCTTTTCTATCTAGTTATTTAATTCTTCTAATTCTATTTCGCTTTTTGCTAGAGAAGTTTCGATTAATCCCATCTTTTTCCGCTCTTGATTTGGCCACTTGTGACTTGATAATTCGCTCATTTATTAAAAACAAGTTGATCTTTAACATGATCTATTTGACTTTTGAGCTTGAAGTTAATCACCCCAAATTCCAAAATCTTATCTTAACCTCTCTTTGATTTTAAAAGGTTGTCTTTCAATTGATCTAACTCTCGTGTTAGATGTTCGAAGTTGTCCTATACATCTGATATCATCTACATTCGGATTATTTTTTTTGTCTTATAGGAAAAAAATCAAAAAAAAAAAAGGTTACTTATTAACCCTTAAGAATTTATTAGTAAAATACAGTTAAATACTTACAGTAACTCGGCTACTCTTTCTTCAGTATATATAATACGTTTTGCGCAAGCATTCACATCCATCTCTAACTTCAATAGTTCAAATTCTAATTTGGGATAAACCTGTCATCTTTCGGCTTAATAAGATCAAAAAGGCGGTAAACATTTTCAGGTGTTTGTATAGGGCGCACGTCCATGGTAGGCAGTTCATTCAAAAGTATGAACTTGGCGCAACCTAAATCGCTTCTTTTAAGGTGTTCTATACAAATTTTCCAACTTCAATAGAATCAACTACGATGTTGTTAATGCAGAACAGGCACTTGAAATCGCAACATCGTTTTTATCATCAAAGACACCAAAGGTTATCCAAACGATCCTAATTAAAAAAAATTAAAATAAGATTTTCGGCAAAACAAATCAACGAACGCTCCGCTCCGACGAACTTACATATTATCCTTTTATACGACCACTATTTTTTTTTGCTTTATCAAGCTGCTAAGAATTTGTCCTCTATACTGAGACGAATTTAAGTCTTTTCGCCTCATCTTCTCTTTGTCAAGAATCGGCAAGATTAGACATGAAATGTTCTTGATGACTAAGATGATGCTAAAAATAAAAAAAATTTGAGAATCTTAAAATACTTAATCTAAATGTTAAATAATAACCTTTCAATTGTTGAATTTCTAGTTTCATATCTTTGATTTTATTCTTTGTAGGTGAGATTTCTTGTTCCTAAATGAGAAATTCAGTTATAATTAAATGATCACAAAAAAACAATTGGTGCCTAATCATAATACCTTTTATTGAATCAACTTACTCTTTTAAAATATTATACTCAGATTGTTAAATCAAAAAGTGATTGCCTTGCATTGATTTTCTCTAACCAAGGTGTAAGTTCTCTTTGCTTTTCTTCAATTTTGTTTGAATAAATTTTTGACTTGCCTTTATTTAAGTTTAAATCTAGTTAAAATATAAAACAAGGTATCTACACAATTAGATTAAAATAATAGATTCACATACCCTTTAAGCTTTCCCAAGTTCACTTTCTTGAGTCTCTAAGATCTTTCCAAGCCCATAATTTCTTCCATTCGATCATTCAAATCCTGTTCATTGTATCGTAATGCTGTTTTCGCTTCCGAAACTCTATGACGATCCTATAACAAAATGCGCTTCTTTCTCTCTTCCAGGTTAATATCGCCTTTCTCATAATTTGTCAATTCAGCTAGAATTTCATTTGTTCCTTTTTCAAATTGCTTATTAAAATAAAAAAAATTAATGAAAGCTAATTTTTTTTGAATTATTATAATTTATCTTACTTGAAAAGGCATTACGGA